TTTCACATACGTTTTCAAATAAATTGTTATATAGATATATTTATAAGTAAGCTTGACTTAGTTTAGCACAAGGACACAAGTTGATTTGATTGATTTTTATGGCTTATCAACCTTTTGCAGGTTGTTTAAAGCCAGAAAATATTTTGAGATTGTAAGAAATTTTTAGAGATAATAATGATTTACTGATACAAGTCCTATTAGTTAACCCATAGTTGGAGAAGAGGTGGAGTCATATCTTTCCCAAGGGTATTTGTGCATAACAAACCCAACTGGAGTTGGAACTTGGCTCTCTGATTAACAATTCCAAGAAATTAACCATTACACTACACACACATCCAAGCTTACAGCACCTGGGATTCTCAAGCAGTTAGCCGTCTAGGTATTGAACAGAATTGATGTTGCTTAACTTCACGGATTCTCCAAGAACTGGTATTTCAACATGATATGACTGTAAGCCCAAATACACAAGTTTGATGACTGAACTTACAGCACAGAAATAATGACTTGTATAGTGAGTTTATTCACTGGGTGCCCTATATTTGTGACCCTGTGCCAGGCTAAACCAATTTCTACTTGAATATATTCTCTTATTGTTAGAAAATTTAAACAGAGAATAAAAGCAATTTGAAAGGTCTACTTGAAGCTATTATTAATTAACAAATAATCTATTAACAATTTTGTGTTTTAAATAAGTGCTTATTGACTGAATGTGTTTTTGTTTTTGTATTTTTTAACAATTTTTTCTCTCTTTTTCTCTTACAGACACACACACACAAACAAACACAAATATTTATTTATACTATTATATATATATATATATATATATATATATATATATATATGTGCACACACATGCACATTCATATGTATCTATTTGCATATTTCCACATACACATTTTGTACACACACACACATGGGATATATTTGTGAAGAAAAGATACATAAAAAAAGTAGAAGAGATATACAAAGATTGATAAACACGAAGGTTAAGTGTACTTTGTGAAGTATTGGTTGGTTCTAGGGTGAATCAATATGGATAATGCAGTCTGGCAATGGGCTGATATTTTACACTATGTTGACATCCTGACAGACATTCGTGAATTTTACAACAGACAGTGGTGTGCTCATGGGGTTACCTTTCTTACAGGTCAGAAGAGTCCAGCAATATGTATCAAAAACAGGTTTCCATGTTGTAGTCCTCTTAGAGTTTCCACAGGAGAAACAAATACAGATGAAAGTTAGTGATCAGTTCTGTATTTAAAGTTCCATTTTTGCATGAGGTTTCAATTGGTAAATTTTCCAATCATCTCCAGGTGACAGTTTTGATAAATATAAAAGAAGATTTTTTTTTTGTTTTGTTTTTTCTTGTTTTTTTTTTTTCCTCAAGTAAAGCTTTAGTTAGTATGATCCTCTTTTGGCACAAATAGTAATTGAGGAAAGGACATTAAAAGAATTTGGGAATTTTGGTCATTTTTATATCGATTTTGTGACTTGGGTATGTTGAATTAATGTCAGTTTGAAAGGACAATGATTTGTAAAACCGAGTCACACTTAAAAAAATATTTACTTATGACAGTCTTAATTGTCAAAGATTAAAAATAAAATAAAAAAAAACCTGGGTAATTGAACGTGTTTCATGGGTGTATTTCACAGAGTTACTTCCCTTGTATCGTTCTTGGCCATTGATGCAATAATTCCATTGAATTAAGCAATTAAATGACTGATAACATTAACAATTTTACAGTATCCACAACAATTACATGTATACTGAATTTGCAACTTTTTTTCTCTGAAAAAATCTGGTAAAAAAGTCTACCAGATATTCTAGAAACTTCTATCTTTAACATTCACCATTTTATCCAATTTTTAACATCTTTAAAAAAAGCAAATGACGGACATCCTTTTCCTGATTTTGTTTTTCAAATAAAAACAATTTCAAGTATATTGTCTACTTTAATCATTCATAAAAATATTTTATGATCAATGTGTTCATGAAAATAGTTGATGCAGAGAAAATTTACATCTATACTTTCATAGATAATTCTAGAAAAGTCTTGGTAAAAATATTTTGCAAGCCAATAGTGAAATCAGTGAACTCATAAAAAAATACAACAATGCATAGTAACAATTGCTGAGATATTAAAAGTTATATTTATAAATTTAGAAGGAAGATTATTATTAAGTGATGGTTGTGGTGATTAAGTAAGTAATAAATTTATACAAAGAAAGTGTCAGAAAGATGATAACTATCTTTCAGATATTGAGTAACCATTAGCTTGAGAAAGGCTGTATTGAAGGCAATATTGTCGTTTAAGAATGTAATAAGAAAACAAATATAAATACAAAAGTTACCAATAAGATTTCAATGAAATTTAAATTTCAATCTTTGAATAAATATGCATAAATTAAAATTCTACTGTTAATTCAAGTATCAACACATCTTGTTTCTTGTTTTTATATTTCTTATTTTTATATTGAAATTCTTAAACATTATTGCTGTTCAGCAATATTTACATAGCATTAATAGCATTTTATTGATTCCTTTTTTAACAAATTCAAGGATAATAACTACTGATGCTATGTCAATGTAAATAAAACCAGTTAAAAATATTAAATATTATTTTCTTATTCAGTAAACAAAGCATTTTGGGCTTTAAACCAGTGATGATTAGGCAGTTTTTCTTTTTTGTGTTAGTTTGTCAATAAAATTTGGCAAACTGTTTTGAAGAAAAATTGTGATAAAAATTTTACCATAAACTTGAAAAATGTGAAAATAATCTCGGTATTTGCCATTCAAATGCATGTCATAAAATTGAAATTTTCATTTGATGTGGTCAAATTGATTATTGCCCAAAATTAAAATTTAATCTGAAATTAGAGAAAAAAATGAACTTTGAGGGTGACAAAGCCCAAAGTTCCATCTTTTATACCCAAGTTCTATTTCAAATTTTAATGATGAGTATAAGAAATATAGCACCCAGTGTTAAAGAGTAATCAAGAAATAATCTTGATATTTCTTGAATTAAAACTTAACTGCAACTTTTCTCTACAGATTTCACTGTCATTCAATTTATAAATGTCTCTATATGTGACTTCTGAGGTAGATCTTTGTAGTTGTTGTGGCCAAAATCTCTGAAGTTAGTAGTGATTTGATAATGTCTGCGACCAGCAAGGCTTCTAATGTCACCATTTCTCATTGCATAACTGGTTTGAGGTCTGCCTACTTGGAATCTTGACAAACCATTTCGTTCATCAAGATCTTCTTCAATTCCTTCTTCTTCAATTTCTTCTTCTTCCCCTGCATAGAGGCCACCATTCATGTTTACAAAACTCTTGGTAAAATTGTATGTTTCTTTTTTCAAAGATTCAGCCTTGTATTTGATTTCCTTAACAACAGGGTGAAACCTTCCTCGGCTCAAGTCATAATACATGTCGCAGTACATATCATCTGTGTCAGTTTCATCATCAAAGGATGACTCACTTACATCTGACTTGAAATGTTTTGAGTCTATTGAAGTCTCAGAGGACATGCTGTAACCTTTGACAATAAGATCTTCCGAGAGATCAGACCTTAGATACTTGGAATCCAAAGATATATCAGATGATATACTATAATCTTTGGTGAGAGTGTTTTCTGATGTATCTAGAAACCTGGGCGTCTTTGACTCTGTTGAGGTCTCAGAAGACATACTAGATTGTTTAGTAAGCCTCTTCTCTGAACTATACACAGACTGGATGCTTTTGTAGTTTGATGTATATGATTGGGTAAAAGTATTGATATATGAAGATTTGGGCTTCAGTTTGGGGCTGCTTTCTAGTATTTTTGTAGGGCTTTTTTGCAGAAATTTTGGGGGGCTGCTCTCTTGCATTCTTGGGGGATTCTTTTCCAGAAATTTTTTGGGACTGCTCTCTTGTACTCTTGGGGGATTCTTTTCCAGAAACTTTTGGGGGCTGCTTGCTTGTACTCTTGGAGACATGAACTTTTTTGGACTGCTCTCTTGTACTCTTGGGGGATTCTTCTCCATAAACTTTTCTGGGCTGCTCTCTTGTACTTTTGGAGGATTCTTTTCCATAGATTTTTGGGGGCTGCTCTGCAGTATTTTTGAGAGAGTCTTTTCCATAGATTTTTTGGGGCTGCTCTCTGGTATTTTTGAGGGATTCTTTTCCAGAGCCTTTTTTGGGCTGCTCTCTAGTATTTTTGAGGGATTCTTCTCCAGAGATTTTTTCTGGCTGTTTTCTATTATTTTTGAGGGATTCTTTTCCAGAGATTTTTTTGGGCTGCTCTCTAGTATTTTTGATGGATTCTTTTCCAGGGATTTTTTCTGGCTGTTCTCTAGTATTTTTGATGGATTCTTTTCCAGAGATTTTTTTGGGCTGCTGTCTAGTTTTTTTGAGGAATTTTTTTCCAAAATTTTTATTGGACTATTCTGTTGTGCTTTTGCTAGGTTCCTCTCTAGAATTTTTTTTGGACTGTTCTCTTGTATTTTCTTTGAAGCATTCATTTTCTTTTTTTCTTCCATCTCTACTGTTTTTTTGAACTCTTCTGAAGGAAGATCATCAGGCTCAAGAACTTCTTGACTTATTCGAGATAATATGTTGTGTTTTTTCTTCTCAAAGCTTCCTTTCTGACTCATCTTCAGGAAAGAATCAATTTTTCCATTGATGCTGTTGGGCAAAGGTTTTGCAATTGGAGCTCTTGCTCTTTCCCTGTCATCATCAGAATATTCCTGGTCACTCTTTTGCTCTTCCTCTTTTAAAACAGAATCATTTTCTGTCTCCTCAATTTTCTTACTGATTTCATCAGAGACCCTTTCATTTACAGGTATTCCCTCCCCAGATGTACCTTCATAGCTACCTGCATCACTGTCAAACTTATCATCCATGTTACCTTCTTCTTCTATTTCTAATAGTGTATTATTTTCATGGCTAACAATCAATTTCTGCCTACAAGTAGCAGATACCTCCTTCATGGAGAAATCATCAGTGTTTCCACACCCTACCTTTAATCTGGGGGGTTGCTGTGCTGCTGGTACCACTGTAGATTTAGATGTTTGTTCATTGGTAGCCACCATGGCTGAGGGAGTCGTGCTGGGTATTGGTGTTGTGTTGTTTTCATTTGTAGCAGCTGGGGCTGCAACAGTAGCAGTTGGTGGGGAGGCTGGAGTCATAGGAACCATTCCCTTTTCTGTAAACATCATTACTGACCCAGAAGGACGAGGTGAAGTTTTCTTCAGGGTAGACTTGCCCTTGGCAGCAATTTCGGCTATGAGCTCATTATTATTGTTTGTTGAGGTGGTTGCAGTTGGTGACCGAATGGGGCTGTTTGTATTGTTTGGCATACTCAAATTCATTTTGCTCTCATTAACAGTACAGCCAAGAGAATTCTTGGAGCTAGAATAAGAAAAGAAAGACACACACATATATATATATATATATATACATAAATACATTTTCTCAGAAAAAACAAAACAAGTTAAAATTAAGAGAGAAAAAACAAGATGGTTGTACAGAAACTTGAACACTGAAAACATTGATTATTTCATTATATTACTCAAGATGCTTTTTTTAAATTGTAAAGAAAATAATACTATTTAATCCTTTCGCTTATTCAAATATTTTCACAAGTTCTAAATTCATTCAAGGCTCTTTCTTTATGTATATAGATTTTTCAGATGTAAACCTGTTGCTGTTTGATGGTAACAAATGTCATGTTAGTTCCCTTCTCAACTCACGACTTTCTCTTGCTACTTTAAATATTACTGCTTAATCAGATAATGGAACAGTGACTAACCTTCATCTTCTATGTGCAGTGTACTTTCAGGACATAGACAATCATGGCTCTCCACAACTTTTTTACTTCATGTGGCTCTTAGCAGTTTTTCTCCCTATGACAAGGTCCACACACCCCACAATCTATACAAGTTTGTCAGGTAAGTGGCTCACTGCCTTCCCCCAATCTCTCTTGCCCTCAATATGCCCTCCTGTGAAAGTTAAGTTTTCCAAGCCCTCCTTCCTCATTATGTGTCCAAGGAATTTCAGCTATCTCTTCCTGATTTTGAGCATAAGTGTTCTTTCTGTTGGCATTTTCTTTAAGACTTCCTTGTTGCTTACATGCTGCCCAAGGTAGAAGGTTACAGAGTAAGAGTCACAGTTTATGAAGATATAAATAACTAGACTTGAACATGCCAAGATTGTAGTGATTGGGGAAGCATCCTCTTGGAAGTTGCATCCACAAAGCAACTGCTCATGGAAAGAAGCTACGTGAGAGGAACTTACATCTCACCAATGGAATCCAAAAGGAATGAGGTTGGTTTGCTATTATGTGCATGGCATGGAGGTTTTTAGCCGTGAAGGGTAGAACTGATGGAACTAAGAAAAGTAATTTGTTTGGACATTTACATAGTGATAGAGCAGTAAGAGACTTGCAATGTTTTATCTGTGGGAAATGGGTTGCAGGATGGAAAATAATTTGTCACTAACAAGAATGAATTGAGGCTGGAAAATGAAGACTGGGCAGCTCCTGCACATACATGGAAACAGTACTCTATTTTCGGCCTGACCTGGCTCTTCATTTTTCCATTGTTAGAAACTAAGAGAAGTAATGAATTCTTCTTTGTTACTGGTATCATGTAACCTAGTATGATGTGTTATGTGCTACTTGAAGTATAATGTAAATTAATATTAATTACCTTAAAGATATGTCATAAAGAACACCACTAAGGATCTATGGACCAACCAACCAACCAATGGATACAATAGCAAATTATCTTTATTTAACCAACCTACCAAGCTTTTGAAAATAAAGTGTTTTTTCACAAGGTGATACAAATCCTTTTTGCAGAAAAAATAATTAATATACTTAAGTCTACCTATCATTTAAAAATCATAATGCAAGATGCAATTGATTTGGATGATCAATGTATTGATCTCTAAAATGGATGAAAGTCAATAAGTAGACAAAACCCTACAGAGTGGGCCTAGTTGTTAAACTAAATGTTTAGTGTGTTACAAAAAACATTAGAACATTTCAGTGATGGTGAGTTCTCTTGTGTCATAACTGACAGTGAATATAGCAGCCATTTTGCTGCTAATACAGATGGTTATGAGAAGTGGGGTTTCTGTATACTAATTCCTTTCACCATTTAATATCTTGAAATAGCAATGATAAGACCAAAGTCAAGATGATTGGTAATATGACTGAACAAATTGGGTTGGATTCTTCTCTTTTCCAAGGGAGTTAATGTAAAAATGATTTGAATTTGGAATATGTTGATTCCATTTTCTGAGTTACTAATCATTGTACTACTTTGCTATTTAAGCAAAAAGTATAAGCACTGTAGTCTTGTAGATCAAAGCATTTCTATAATGACCTTGAAAGATTTTACACTGTCTACTGGATATAATATTGCAGCTTCAAAATTCTCTTTAGTAATTTCAAATTGTATTTGAAAACTTTCAACATTGCAGTGATCTATTTCCTATAAATATATGATAAAAGTGTATTAAATTTATATTCAATATACTTGAGCATTATTTTGCTATATTTGTACATTAGAAAAAGATCACTAAATGTAAAAGATACAAAATTTTTAGGGCTTTTAACAATACATGTTTAAATTTATATTGTAATATTGATCTTTACAGTTTCTGAAATATACCAATTACTTTTTATATATTTTTGCTATTAGTTTGAACTAGTTTCTTTCACCTTTCTACTTAGTAGTCAACAATACAATGAGGAAAGAATAAATCAGAGATAAGAGACAAGTAGAAAGACTAAAGATGAGAATGATCAAAAAAGTGCTACTCATGAAAGATAAGCTTGCAAGAGATAAAATATAATTTGAGGTCACATTCAAGTTTTCAGTCTAATGTAATAGTTGAAGAATTGACTGCTTACAAAGACAGGATGAAAAGCAGCAAGAAAGATGAAGAAAACTGGTCCAAATTAACAATAAAATCTGTGTAAAAATTTAAAATGTTAATTTTAGAATTTCAAATACAATTTTTCAAGTATGAATTTTCCCTCATTTCATATTTTCCTAATTTTCATGTGTGAAAAAGGGAAATAAAGAATAAATTATTGCCTCTGTTTATTTCTTTATTGATCTGCACAGGTTATTATTTTTACAGACTAATTACAAGCCTCAATTCTGAGAGAAACTTTTATTTATTAAAATTTTATTAAAGTTTACATTTTTTAATTTAACACCCAACAGAAAACAGTTCTTGATATGTTTACCTGTTAGTAAAACATCAACATAGTATAAAGCATTTCAATGTGGAGTAATGGTTATGATCTATATTGGTTGATGATTATTACTGTATAGTGAGATTGATCTTCAATGGATGCTCTATAACTGTGACCTTGTGCCAGAACTAAACTTATTTTGGTAAATAATAACAAACGTACAGTATGAAACTGAAATTCTCACAAGATTTATAGTAACAGACAAGATCCATAGAACTTCCATGGTGTGCATTGAAAATTTATATATAGGATAAAGTTAATATTTCATCAAGATTATACATATATAAGTACATAAACCCTGTTTTAAAATTGTAAATGTTTATTCTGTTTGATTAAAACCTGTGAAATGTTCTATGTTCTATATGATGCAATTTAAAATTTACATGCTTAATATTCCTGCATACAACTTTCTTCCAATATTATCTTGATCCTTTATATTAATTGTATTAAGAAATTAACTGGTTTAGTCTGCCGAAGAGTTCCTTTTTGCTAATGGAAGAAAGTGAATAACAAAAATAAAGTAAAAAATCCTGGATAAGTTAATACAGAAGCATAAAATAAAAAAAATATATTTCTCACAACTCTTTACTGTCTTCATTGGTAAGATAATGTCATTCCGTATATTTCAATTTTCAGACATGATAGCAAAAAAAAAAAAAAAAAAATGAAGAAAAATGTTGAATTCCTAATTTATAATAATTTGAGTTTCAAAATTATTTTTGCTTTCCATCCTCTGTAAAAACTTATCTCTTTTCTATTGAAAATATAAATAAGTACAGTCTGACCAAAATACCTCCTAAAATGGTAGACATTTTCTGGAAAAAGAAATAAAAATAATAAATTATACAAACTGTAATAATAATAAAAGAAAACTTCAGAGAAAAATACATCATCTACAAAAACATTGAGGAATATAAAGCAATTATATATATATATTGTATTGTGTATTCTTGCATCATTTGATTGTAATACATGGAAAAATATTTGTGAATATGAAATGATTATGCTAAAAATAAGTATAAATCACACTGTGAGATTGACTATGTGGGCAAGACTATCCAGTGGTTGGAGGTTAGGATCACCCAGCATGTTCTGGGACAAGTATGTAGACATGAGCCTGTAGCATCTGGGTGTTCACAGGCTCATGACTCTGCTATCAGCGAGCATTTATTGAATTCTGTTGCTTGCAGAATGGACTATTCTCCAGAGTCCTTCTTTATCTTGCACAAGGCATGGACCAGACTCCACCTTGACATCTTTATATTTCTACTTTTTGCTACCTTTACTATACAACTATTATTAATATTAGACTATAATGCATTTAACATTTTGCTAATGCATTTTTTCCTTTATCTTATCTTTATCATTTATTTTATTATTATTGTCTTTTTGTGTTTTTCTCCTACCTTTAGTCTTACTATTAGTAACATGTTTATTTACTTATTTATTCTTATTTATTTATTTGCTTTATTTATTTGCTCTATTTATTTACATATTTATATGTTTCTATTTTATTTTATCTTATTTTATATTATTCTAATTTCATTGATATATATTATTTTTATGAGTACTTTAATTATAATTTTATTTTATCAAAACATATTTTAATATTATCAATATCACTACTGTTATTAAGTTTATTAATATAATTAATATAATATTATATTTCTTTTATGCTCACTTTCTGACCATGAGACCCAGATTCAAATCTCACCATGGTTGATTTGTCAGGAAGGAGACTTCCTGATGTTATCAGTCTGGAGAAAGTCAATCCAAGCATGCGGTACCTTTGGAAAGTGCCTGAAAAGTATACAATAGGTTGACCCAAGCCTTGTGAGTGAAATTGGGTAGACGGAGACCATTATCAGCTGTCGATGGCTGTGCTAGCACAAAGTCACAAGTCATCATGATCAAAGGTTTGAGCATGCTGGACTTGTTCAGATTGTTGATCATGCTAGATAACACACTCTCTACCAGAAACTGCATAGTTGCAGTATAAACCTCAGGTGGCCTATGTGGGTATTGAACAAACAAAATTGTGCCTGAGCGGGCATCTGCAATAGGGGTTGGCTAGCCACCCTAGTAGACAGGTATCTTTGAGTATGAGTGACCTGCTATATATATATATATATATATATAT